AAAAGGATATATCAATTGGGAGAGGTTGCTTGACTCTAGCAACAAACTCTCCTGGCAAAAATTGTAGATGGTGCAGAGAATTTATGTTTTGATCTTGGGAGTAAAATGGTAAAGATTTTTATCAAGCAGAGGGGTGATAAGGGATGTTGCTTGATTTTAGCACAAATTCCCAAAGCAAAAATTATATGAACTGTATCATAGCCAGTGCAGAGAATTTGTATTTTGATCTTAGGAGTGAAAGGGTTTAGATGTTTATCCATTACACAGAAATCCAGGACAAATAAATAAGAAAATTATTGCTTTGAATCAATACATCCCTAAGTGGATAAAGCTATCTACAAGTGAACACTCCTTAGAGACAAAAGAATGCTCTTTAAAAATCTATTTTGAGATCAAGAGATCAAAATAGTACTTATGAAATAATTTTAATCAACTTTTTTGTCCATCATGGTAACAATAGATGGAAGAATGGAAGATTTTGGATGTTATTGTGGGCACAGATCCCAGAATCAATCCCTTATCATTTCCCTTCCTTGACCAATTGTGAGCAGAAAAACATGTTCCCAGTAACAATATCTGTAACAAACTTCAGCCAAAATTATCAACAATTCAGGAGCAATCGTGGAATAGTAATCTTCTAAGTTTGTCTTGTTGACTTAAATGGTAGGGCCTTGACAATGAGGAATAAAAAAATTTACAAGAAAATACCAGAACCATCCGATAAGATGTAAATTAGCGACCTTGATTTCTGTTATAATCTATACCATTTGTTTAAAAACAAAAGCACTAGATGCTCGCGATTACTACAGATTATAATTACAATTAATTTTTTACAAAATTTCTCGTGCACAAAGTTTAAAATTTGCAGGGAAGTGATAAGATTTATGATCGAGAGTAGTGGGTACTTCGGGAGTGGAGCTGAGCATAGCAGAATTGGAAAGGGTAGTTTCCATGCACAGTTGAATAAACACTATTTATTACCACTTTATTTAATTCTGCCACGTATAAATTTTGCGCTTCGTTTCAGATTGGTTTCGTATAAATCAGATTTTACTCTTTACCTTTTAAGAACACTTGAGCAAACAGGTTTTACACTCACAGTTTCTGCAGATCGAAACTTGGCACACGGCAAATCAAAAGATTAACAATATACACCAGATACTGCGATATTTTAGCGAAGAATAATTACAATCATGTAGTAAGAGTACCCTGCAAATGTTAATAACAAAGAATGCCTTGAAAATTCAGTGATCATCATCGATACGCTCGAGAAAGGAAAAAAAGATATATAATTAACTCGATAAAAATCGAGGCGATAAAATGGAAGATAAAGCATTATAACCCAACAGTCTTAATCATTTACCTTCCGTCACTTGCTTTGTTGCCACCATGTTTTGCTGCTCTCTACGAGCCCGCGATACCAGAGGATCTTCGCCGGCCCGGCGTGGCATTGGGTACAAGACAGACTAAGAAGATAGACTTTGTAGCTCTTTAGTCTGGCTGTCTGATTGTGGCCATGTGGGTACGCAAACAAAAATTTCGTTTTTTCTTTCAACAACAGCAACAATAAAAAACAATTCTCCATGGCTATCAAATAACTATCTAACAACCCCTAACCGCAAATTAGCGAAGCTAATCGAGTCAGGAGGGAAATACATTAAAATACCTTAACCGCGCCCCGGTTAGCTCAATTGGTTGGAGCGCCGGATTGTGTTGTGCGGGAGGTCGAGATTTCAAGCCCCGGCCGGTCCAATACGCATGGTCTTAAAACAACTGAGGAGAATTTGCTATCTTTCTATAATGTTAAGAAATGGATAGAAATTCTAGTCTTCTCGGATAAGGACGAATAAAACCGTAGGTCCTGGAGGGTTAGGGTTATCATTTGCGAAATATTAGCTAGTNTGAAAAGAAAAAAATATGGAATTAGGGCGCACCTAAGGTTGATTCGTCGCGACTCTAAATCACAATGTCCTCATTAGGAAGGTCTAGGTCCGACCTTGTTCGGAACTGTGAAACATATGAATCTCCTGTGACACGTGTCTCCTGTTCTGAGAAAAACTGTTACCTCGGTCCGGGAGCGCTAATCTAATCCGATAGCAGTCACAATGCTGATCTCTCGCGACCCATGACTGCTGGAGAAGACTTATATCGGAGTCATGGCCCATATATCATCTTATTAACGCGAAAACACTGCTAGGAAAATATCGCTAGTGAAGAACACTGAAAATTGCGGTGGAATTTTTTCCCTTGCCTTCCGCAATCAAATTATTCTCCCCTGCTTTCAGGCACTGGGGTCGATAAACGCAGCCACGGGCTTGTATGCAATTTGCGTAAATTTCTGGGCTCCAATAGTCGGAACACAGAAGGATTAACTCTGAAAACAAACATTTCAGTAAAATGGTGCAAACTAAAAAAAAGAAATGTTAAAACGGATCTGAAAAAATTAAAGCTGTGAATCTGCGCTTTAAGAAGGCTGGAAGAGAAGGATCTTGTCGTTTGAAGAGCCTTTAACTAGACAACCGAAGTGATTTGTTTGGCGGCATGTGTTTTTCGTAGAGCTGGCCTTTTTTTTTTGCTTTAAGACATGTCTTTTTTTCAGTTTATGATGTACATTATAAAATCATTAAGACTGTAATAGAGTTAGGTTCGATCAAGATAACAAAGCTATTCTGTGTCGCTCTTCCGCGAAAAGAATAGATTGCGTGACGCCGTACCCGGAAAGTTACTGAACTCAATTTGTGTACTCTGAAAGCGTCTCAAGTTCGATTCTTCGAAGTAACGTAGATTTCTTTCTTTGTTCTACGCTCTTCTTCGTGTTAGATTCTTCGCAGTAACTCAGAAGTTTTTCTTTGACCCACTTTCTCTAATTGAGAGCTACGAATTTTTTTCATCACACAACCCGCAACCATAACCCGGCCCAGTGTGGAAAATTTGTAAGAAGAATTGCCCTGATCAAAATTCTGATACGTGTTAGCTAGAAAGCTTAAAAATTGTCAAATTCGTAGATGTAACTTGAACGTAATATGATAAGAATGATTTCTGAGAACATATGCTTTCTCCAAAAGACCACTTTACCGAGAAACGAAGAAGATAACCAGAAAGTTATCGATGCCTGTCCCGAACATTTACGGGATGTGTAAGACCTGTTGAAGGTGTATAATCCAATTTTTTTATGTTTTTCCTACCTCTGTTATATGTTTTTTTGTTCTATTTTTTTTTAGGGAGGGGTTTGGGTACTTTTTTAATTCTGTATGTTTTCTTCGATATCTGTCTTTCAAGACAAATGAAACAAGATACGTTACATCGCCCGTGCAACCTGAAGTGCAGACTTTCCCGTCTCAAGTTTCAAAATATTGACCAAAAGATATTCAAAATTGTAATACTTTGCATGGGAAAGACTAAAAATTACGAGAAAAAGAAATAACGATGCATATTGATACGCTGAGAAGAAAATTGTACGAAGCAGAACAACACTTTGTTTTTGCTTTATTCGTTAGTGTTACTCTTTTTAATAAACCTACTACGATCGTAAATATGCAAAACCATTTTCTAGACTGCGGCTTTCTCAGAATTATTATGACGTCACTGAGCACTTTGAACTGTGTATATCTTTCACGTTGTGAGGCGACATTCTAAGAGTCTTGAGGTTACGCGTCCAATTGAGCGACAAGTTTCGCAGGAAATTATATAGAACTAATCATTGAGCAGCGATGATTCATTTTTTCATGTGAGCTTATGAAAGAGTGAGGATACCTCAAGTAAGTAAAGCATCTTACATTATCTGTACTAACTGGTCATTGGCGCAGCGCACGAAAAAACTTGGAGAGAAGCAAGTTAGCAAAGAAACGATTCAGTCCAATTTCTAGTCCATGAGCATTTTCTTTCATCCACCGAGGTTTCGAAGGTATGGAAATTAAATGCACGAATGTCGCTCTGCCTTTCGCACCGAGGTCACGTTAATTTCTAAGGGAGAAAGATAAGAGACTGATTTGAAGTATTTAAGGCCCGGTTCAAACGTCGAATTTCACATGTGCCGAACTTAATGTGAGAGTTAAATGCATGTGAAGTGCAACGTTTGAATCAATTAAATTCGACTGTTTTAAATTAAATGCGACTTTAGTCGCATGTGCGACTGAAACAGTCAAAGATTCGACTTAGGTTCGACTATTGATTCAAACCTCGCATCTCACATGTGCCGAACTTAATCCATGAATTATAGGATCTCCTGATTCATTTATTACCCACAACTCGCCAGGAATTATGTGAATGCCATGCTCGAAAAAGCCAACAGCACATAAAAATGGTAGGGGACGAACGAATATGTAGTTCTTGCTTTGCAAAGACAATATATAGTTGTTTGACGTGCGGTAATTCACTTTTGTATGAGGTGTTCGGTTTTTGAAAACGAAGAGGGCACTCCTGGGTGGAGAGTAGGAAAATCTGTGGCCGTATTGCGAGTCGTGTTTTAATGAAATGATAGAACGTGAATCAAGTCAGAGTATCATGACGAAAAGCCAAGATGACGAAACAGCAAAACAAAAACATCAGTAAAGCAATTAAGCAAACGCTCAATAGACTTCTTCGTCACGGTCTAGCAAATGGACTTCAACTCGTTTGATGCAGAGGTGATCAATGATAAGAACAAATTGCACAGCAACTTGAAGTTTCATTTACGCCTCAAATTGACCCACAAAATAAATATTCCGTGTATTAAGGAAAGGATAAAAACATGACACTTATTCAGAAGTTTTTTGATTCAAAAGCGTGTCTGATTACTTAGATTTTGTGAATTTGGAAAGGTGCTGGTCCAATCTAGCTTTTGGGAGGAAATGATGGATTTCAACGGTTGTACCAAATCGATTGCTTCAATTTTAGCTCTGGAATCAAAAGTGTACACGTGTTAAGCATAACCACCTTACTGTGAGAACATTCTTCGAAGGCTTGGAATATGCTTTTCCCCTAGTTTGTCTTCTTTGTAAGCAAAGACGCATCAATAACGCTCAGCAAAAGCCAACGTTTCCGAGAATAATTCCTCAAGGCCGTTTGCTTCCTGAGAACTACAGTTCCCTGGAAAGAGTTTTTCTAGCATGCAAGGTTGATTTCACTTTTATTAACAAGGTGGTTATAGATTTTGGTCGAATTAAAAAAAAGTAATAATAGCATAGCAATATTTGCAAGATGAACTACATTACGTACCATTGATCACGATGCGGGTGTCTATACTGTCCCGGAAATTATATCAGCTTTGGTCGCTTTTGTTTGACTCTCTTTTGGCATTTTCTGCCAAAAAAAGAACAGAATTACATAGAAGATGCTTTAAGATGGAATCTTTTTTACCAAGGAAAAGGCCACAACAGGCAAGGGTAACCAGGTTTTTTGCCGAAACACCCACGTTGCACGTTACATAACGGTACTATACCTTTATCGCGGCTTTCGTGGTACAGCAAACGCAAGCTTCTTCTGAGAGAATCGAAGACCAACTGGCTGTCCTTTTTCGCCTGAAGTTTTTCATTATGCCTCTTTTGATATTTTGTCCAAGCCAAAGGAATACTAGTCCATTTATTTCGTCTTTAGCCATCAAGAAAATAGATTACACGTCTTGGTTTCTTGTATGCATTTGGGTTCAAAGCGATGTTATAGACATTGTTTGCCACTTGCCATGTGATTCATTTGTTGATTTTTGAAATCGCCAAAAACTATTTTACTTCGTTCATTTTAGAATTGTATTTGTTTACATCGAATGTGGTTGAAAACCATTGTAACTTGTAGTTCTTCATGGCGAAAATAAAGGATTTATAGAAATGAACAGTGGAACGTGATTATTCAAAGTAGTGTTCAGAATACGTAGAATAAATGGTTGAAATTTCGCAGAATCAGTTCACAAGACGCATCATGATCAGTGAAACAGCTGTACTAGTTGAGATCGCATTTATTTATTAGTTTAAAATTACTGTCCTAAGTTGATTTCTTGAAGTAATAAACAAGTCAATAATGTAAATTTTGTTCACATGTTTACAGAATTTTCAGACTCCTTTCTGCACACGGCCAAGAAAACTTACTAAGTCACCACTTGAATAAATGTATTCAGGGATAGGTATCTTCTTCTTTGATATGCACAATGCTATCAGTTCGTTTTGAGCTCGTGCATAAGCACACACGAATCCATTTGAGTGGCGTGTGTCTTAAGTGCCAGTGAGAAGAAGGCAGAAGCCGAGGAAGTGGGTCAGCAACTAGATTTTCTCTGTTTCGTGCTGTTTGTTACCTCTTCCAATTATCCTGAATTTACACTTCCATAGATGGCTGTTCCTCAATGGTCCTAAAAGATATACGAACACAGTACAAAGCTATTTAGATATGTACACTCGGCGATGACCGTTTGTGCATTTATGCTATGTACAACCTGCAAAATGGCGCATGAATTATGCGGTACCCAGGACCCAATTGAAATGTTTGTAAAAAGGAGTTGTAAGAGTACTGATGTTTAGTTCCCTTGGTTGCAAATGGAGAGAATTGTGACATTTGTTTTGGTCGATTTTTGAAGCGTCGTTTGCAAGAGCGCTGCAATAAATAAAAACCAGGCAAGTCTGTGTTAGGATAAATTTTGGCAAGGAAGATAGCCGTTTTACTGCGCAGAGCTGACATCAAATATTGTCATGAATCATTTAAAGATCAAAGAATTTTTATCTGTAAGACTTATACCTCATCCACTGCAGTATAAATGTTTAGCAAAACCGAGTGTAACTGAAAGAAAATCAGAAACAGGAACTGGTAAACTGAATTTTCCACATGACGGTGGTCACTTTGTATTTTAAACTGTGCTAAATTTGAAGTCGAAAAACATTGGTATAAGCAGTTTTTATGCATATGAAGCAAACATTTTTAAACTGTGCTAAGCAAACCAGCTTTGAAACATGTTGGAGCTTTGATGCTAATGGCATTTATGAAAGGGAAGGGTGCGAGAAAAACAAGTCCCATACTACAAGTTCACACGAATTGAATGAAAAGAGGAAGGTCAAACTTGCTGAATGTTTCAGATTTGGATACATCTTTGTTGAAAATCAACAATATACTAAACGTATAAAAGCAAATTATAAGCCAGGAGACGTAATTTTTTATTTGAGTACAAATGAATTCATTTTCACGCTTACAAGATTGTTCGCTGTCCAAAATTGGTAGCCTTGTGTTCTGGTTATAAGATTGTAATCAGGTTTTGCAGGAAGATGTGACAGGGACAAATAGAATCGTTAACAAATTTTTTAAGGATGAATTACTCGCTGAAGACATCATAACAAGAATATTACATTCAATCTTCAAATCTGAAAAGTGCCAGTTTCCTGGAAGTCTACCTCTCTATATTTTGAGCGACGAAAATTAAACATGAAAAATTCACCTATCCAAGTAGCCATCACTTGAAAGGAGGCTGTTGTGGCGTTACTCGTGCTTTGCATGTGACTACATGAGTGATAAACCAAAAAATACTCAAAATATTTTCTGAGCAAAAGACATGAAAATGGTTCTAAAATCGTCGAACTTCATTCGAGCTGTTAACCTAACCTTCAAATGTTTCTGTACTTGTGCGTTTATTTTCATCGTTTCGCGGTAATGTCTTTATGTGACTATAGCGATTTCTTAGAACTATATAACGCCGTGGGACGACCCTTGATATCTGTTGGGAATTTCAATGACGCAGGTAATTTCTCAAAGATATTCCCTTAAGATTATTGCCAACTGGAAAGGAACTATATCCTCTAAAACTACTCAATACAAAGGAAAACGCCACAGAGCGTCACGCTGGAGCCGGCCGTTCTTGAGAAAACTTGGCTTTCCAAGAACTGCTTTAGTTGACGTACTCGGTGCTCTGTTTATGTTTACCTCTCGCACATTCTTATGTTGTCAGTAGTAAGTTGCTTTTCGAAGAAACTACCAAAATAAATTTTAGTTAAGGATTTATCATGCCTTTATTATACGTGATGTCTGCAGAGTAGCGCGATAATTGTTGTAAGTAATAATTTCAATATATTAACAAAGTTGCAATGGTAAATTGGCCACCGTTACGATTATAGAAGCTCGACGTTTTCGAGCGTTAGCCCTTCGTCGTTAGTCCTTTCGCTCCGACGAAGGGCTAACGCTCGAAACGTCAGCTTTTATAATCGTGACGGTGGCCAATTTACCATTTCAACCGACTTTTTTGATATATTGAAATTATTTCGTTACCCCCACCGTCGCAGCCCCAAACAGTTTCTTTAGAAACTATCAGCCTTTATTCAGTTGTTGTAAGTACTTTACAGACGTAAATTTTTTCATTTTCGATCTACTTCGAATGCAGGGGGCTCACACATCCGACTCAGTGAGTTAAAATAAGTCCAGTCTGTACCTTTTGTTCGCATAATTCTTCAACTGGTAAAGAAACTGTTGATAGTATTACAAACTACAGGAAAATATCCGGCCCATCCTTTGAGCAAACATCTGATTTTGAACCAAACGTTGCGNAAAATAAAAAAAAATATGTCGGTGCACGCGCAAACCCACTCGATAGTCAGCGGTAGCCATAACAGATCATGAGCAACTGTCGATCTTGTAGAATCTGGATTTTTCAATGCGCGAGAGCGCGCGTGGGTATTGCTAAACTCACGAAGGCTTTTGCATGGCCCCTTCTTTTTATTGTTCCAATATAATATTATCAATGAAAAGAATCGTCAGAAAAAATCCTAGTAAATTCTACAAAAGGAAATTTTGAACTGCGTGAAAATTGTCTTTTTCTAAATTTTCTAAAATTCCGCCCCGTAGAATTTTTTTCAAATCTTTGTGCATTTTCCTTTTTAAGTGCCAAAAGCAATTACTTAAAAAAAATCACAGGGGTCACCTAGTTAGTTTTAGAATTATTTAAGCCATAAACTAAAAAATGCGTCTGAATAATCCTTTGGAAGCGTTGCCAGGGACACTACTAGTGGCGAAATAACACCCATTTTTGGATAACCAATGATTATATAATTCAACCCTGTAAAAATGTTCTACTTTCCTTGGTCAGTCTTTTTATTGTATTCTTTCTAAGTTACAAACCATCAAAAAGATGAAAACTGGTACTAACCATTTAAAATCATTCGTAAAGCCATTTCCTTCATTTTGTGAAAACCTCCGAATTTCCGTGAATCCTGGCACACTAGAAGAGAGTTTTGAAGTTTTCTCTTTTAAATTTGTGTTTCGTTAATTTTTCTAAAATTTCCCAGGAGGACTTAAGAAGGAGAAGGACTATCCTTTTGCTCATGAACTTGAACTGCATAAAGATATTTTCATGGGTGCTTTCCTAAAAAATCTAACAACGTTTTGAAATATTTATGCAAGGCAAATGGTACATAAATTTTTCCTCCTAAAAAAAAATATGTTTTGAATTTGAAAATTGGTCATTAAGAACCTCTATCCCTGTCAGTCTGAAACTTACCAGTTGAAGCTGCGATCAAAGATTGCGAGCGAGTCATTGTCATCAGCCCATGCCATACACCAGTCAAACAGAAAATATATTATAGGAGCTTCCCCGATCTGGTAGATTTACTCTCAATTGCCGCCGATTTGAAAAGTGTTCGGGACCAAATTTTTTGCGCTGGAAGCTATTTCAGGAAGTTGTTGTAACCATATACGCAAGGGAAAGATTATCGCTCAACCCCATACCATTCTGATAGAAAGCCTTAGTCCCAAAGGGAAACTACTGCTTTGGCCATTTTTTTATTTATCCAAGAACTGTGTGCATAATGGGGAATGGCGCTACGTGGAAATCTTACCTGGTAACTTTTGTGAATGCATGTTCTACCTCCGACCTTACCTCAAAGAAAATCTTTAGATAAGCGACAATTTGTTCCTCGCTCGAGAAAAAATTTTTAACAGGGCTTGAGATGATCATCTCCTGTGATCATATCATGCGAGTGAGGATAGTCCTGAGAAGGGCTGCTGTGGGTAGCAGTGACTGACGTTTCGACAAAGTGTCGACAAAGTCATCATCAGAGTCAAGTGAAGAGTAGTTATAACATAACCAAAGTAAAGCGCGCGCTCTGATTGGTCAATTTAGCGTCCCCCATTTGCCCATGGGTGTACGCTGCTGACGTGAACAAAGACTATTTTTCCGCGCGCGCTTGTTTTTTCTGGTCGCGTAAGATTTGTTAAATAAAAGGGAACTCTTTAGCTACAATGTATCAATGTTCTTATCGACAACGACAAATTGGTTAATCAGATCGCGAAATTATTGCCAATCGTTGTAAAATGATATCTGATGGTATCGCCCAACAAGAATCTGGAAGGCTCGGGTACGAATACTGTCGAGGCTTGAATTTTTTTCTAGCCTTTTTTCCACTGAGCTTTCCTCGAGAATCAATGCTTTACTTGATTTTCATCCGCAGGTCATTTATAATTTATTTTATGATCACATTTAATATCTGTTCAGAGCTAGTCACGATGCTACCGAAGTACTGCATTGTATTGGCCATCTTTTTCAAGTGCGGAATTTGCGACTATGGGAGAAATATTTCACGGGAACTGAATGGCACTGTCATTGATAGCAAGACACTGACGCATGTAGAGGGTCCTTACTTGGTCACCAGTGACTTGGTTGTCGCAGAGAATGCCTCTCTTATCATAGAGCCTGGTACTCAGATAAATTTTGTTCCATCTGTGGGGGTTCGTGTTCATGGATCACTACATGCAAAAGGGACACCCTCACACAGGATTACTTTCCGAGCGGTTCCTTGCAATGAATCACTTTCATGCAAGAACTCAGCCATACCTTACAATCAAGGGATACGTCTTGTTGGTGGAACCTCCCATAACAACGGCCGTTTGGAGCTACAGTGGAACGGACAGTGGGGTACTATCTGCGCCGATCTTTGGGACCTTAGAGATACACAAGTGGCCTGCAGACAGCTTGGCTTTCTCAGAGCAAAGAGGTATTACCTCCACCCTGGCGCTGGCAGTGTATACTTGAAGTACGTTGAGTGTACCGGAAAGGAAGACAGCATTTGGGATTGTCGCTATTCCTGGGTTTCGTATTGGCCTTGTGGTGAGTTATCTTAAGCTAGTCAAGAGTTTGTAATTTCCTGAGCTATTTTATATAAAACTATGCAGTTTTAAGGCTGGAGATACGTTGTGGACGGCTGAGGCCTAAAATAAGGCGGACTGTTTTATGGTCTAACGTGAAATTCTAGGCAGCGATCGGATGAATAGGCTATAGCGGGATAAACCACGTTGATTTATGATAAATGACTAATTAATACTTTTAGTACGGTTTTTTGGCGCTGGAAGCGTTTATTGACCTTACGCCACTTTTCTCTCCTATAAGACAAGTGTAACTGTTCATAGGAATACGTATTCTGTGAAAAGTACAGGTATACATATGGATTTAGTCCAGAAATTTTAACATAAGAGCGCGTGATTATGGTGGCCAGTACTGGTTTCCTTGCGCGGTGAGCAGGTCACTCTCGTGCGTCACGCGCGAGAGAAAGGCGCGAAAGAAGCGAAAAAATAAAAAAAAATATGTCGGTGCACGCGCAAACCCACTCGATAGTCAGCGGTAGCCATAACAGATCATGAGCAACTGTCGATCTTGTAGAATCTGGATTTTTCAATGCGCGAGAGCGCGCGTGGGTATTGCTAAACTCACGAAGGCTTTTGCATGGCCCCTTCTTTTTATTGTTCCAATATAATATTATCAATGAAAAGAATCGTCAGAAAAAATCCTAGTAAATTCTACAAAAGGAAATTTTGAACTGCGTGAAAATTGTCTTTTTCTAAATTTTCTAAAATTCCGCCCCGTAGAATTTTTTTCAAATCTTTGTGCATTTTCCTTTTTAAGTGCCAAAAGCAATTACTTAAAAAAATCACGGGGGTCACCTAGTTAGTTTTAGAATTATTTGAGCCATAAACTAAAAAATGCGTCTGAATAATCCTTTGGAAGCGTTGCCAGGGACACTACTAGTGGCGAAATAACACCCATTTTTGGATAACCAATGATTATATAATTCAACCCTGTAAAAATGTTCTACTTTCCTTGGTCAGTCTTTTTATTGTATTCTTTCTAAGTTACAAACCATCAAAAAGATGAAAACTGGTACTAACCATTTAAAATCATTCGTAAAGCCATTTCCTTCATTTTGTGAAAACCTCCGAATTTCCGTGANTTATAACATAACCAAAGTAAAGCGCGCGCTCTGATTGGTCAATTTAGCGTCCCCCATTTGCCCATGGGTGTACGCTGCTGACGTGAGCAAATGCAAAGACTATTTTTCCGCGCGCGCTTGTTTTTTCTGGTCGCGTAAGATTTGTTAAATAAAAGGGAACTCTTTAGCTACAATGTATCAATGTTATGTTATAAAACAAATGGTAAACACCACAGCGTACACTATTGAGTTATAGATGCACTTGGGAGGTTTGCTAAGCACTCAAGAAGCTAGAGTCGCTCTCGGCTGTCGCCTCGAGCGACTCTTACGCTTCTTTCGTGGTTAGCAACCTCCCGCGTGCTTCCATAACTCAATAGTGTACGCTGTGGTGTTTACCATTTGTTAATTATAGCTTCGGTTCGCGTAGACAGATTGGTCCCGGTTTAGCCGTGATTTGTTTCATTCCAAATAGTTGCCTTTTTTATGTGATAATTTTACCAATGAACTCTTATTTGCTTTAGCTATGCAAGTTTAAAATGAATGCAGTTTTTGGAGAATTATAATTAGGTCGGATATGGATTTTAGTAAAGTTGCTTAGCCGTGATCTTAATGGTTATAAGACTCAAGTTCCCAAGTCGGTAGTGACTGGCCAGTTTCGATCTGTCGGTAATGTTAGGCCTATCTGATGCTTTCGTTTGTGGTGAAGATTCCGTGAATTAGTCGTTTGTACAGAATAGGTAGTTGTGGACACCAGCGGGTGAGGGGGGGGGGGAAGTCTTAGTTAGAAAACCAGCTTTCCAGAGTCAGCCGGTTGAAGATACTTAGTGTTGTAAGCAAGGCATTACACAAAGACCTAAGACCTAAAATATGATAAGATAGGTCCAAGGTTTTGTTGGCTAGACGAGCGCCAGCATGTGTGACACCGGCTCATTTCCCCTGAGATTGGTAGAAGTATCGGACAATCAAATCAATTGCTATTTTTTTCTATCCCAATAAAAAACTAAACCAATGTGCCAGCTCATAGTCAGGACATCGGAATCGAGTGCGACATTCATTTGCCTATCTTGGCTCAGAGGGTCTACTGGAAAGGTATCTATTTCGCACCAAGAAACTCCACCAAGAATCACAGAAACTCGTCTTTGGAGAACGTAGACATAGAGAACGCTTTTGACGGCATAAAAGCGAAGAGAGAGGCCCCTGACTTACACGGCGTTACTATTAGGGATGGCGCCTATGGACTGCAGGTACAGGAACTTGCCAAACCTATGGAAATTGTCGACTCCACGATCTTGAGTCCAGCGATGATCGGTGTAAACATCGAGAATTTATTTGGCAATGTTACTATGCGCAATGCCAGCACAAAAAATACAAGGTTTGGAGATGGACTTGTTTACACGCGTACAGCAGCAGATCTATGTTCCGTCTTTCCGCAGAAGCTTTCTTTCCCATTGCTTTTAAATGCAGTTGCAAAGACCTCTCCAACTAGGTGCAGCCAGGTAAGAACTTTAGCTTATGATCCATACGGATTTAAGAGTTAAAGGAAATTCCTATTCATGTATTTAATAACTTTTCTATTCATTAGGGATATTGCGTTGATAACCATTCTTTGTAGTTGTTTGGATGTTCGTCGATTACAGCTGTCTCGCATCTCCCGAGAAATGTACTTTACCTTTGCCTTTCCACTGTCCACTTACATGACACAGTTTGTCTCGCATCTCCTCCCCGGGAAATGTGCCTTACCTCTGCCTTTAGACTGTCGACTTACCTGGCACAGTTTGTACAATGACCGCTGCTAGTTTAATGGTAAACCTAACTGTCAGCTGGAGGCCATGTCGAGTGACAATCTGATACTGATCTTTGACATGACGTTGCGAATGTCACAAGCGTTTTCAATTAGTTTGACAAGTAATGATGTAATGATTCTATTGAATGTGTTCTTCAATTGGAAAACCAATACTCTTGGAATACTTAATTTTCTTCTTGATTTAAATTCCTTGATCCAATCACATACCATAGCCTAAGTTATTCTTAAACAACAACAAACATGCAGAAGGATAAAGAATATTAACGTTATAACTCTCCAACGAGCGCCTTGTCCATTTGGTGAAGCATATTAATAGGCCTGTAGAGTGGGTTCTGAGTCCTCCTGTGGCCCCTTGGGAGCCATAGTTTATTTTTCGTTCTAAGCTCTAGGTAAATTTTGCTTTAGTAAAATGTTGGTTCTGATTTTTATTATCATTATACAATGAAAATCGCTGAAAATCTGCCAAGAAAATTTTGTTTGATATTAAACATAAGCTTCTTCACGCTTCAGATTTTCAAAGCGTCACCTGGAAGAAGACTCACCGTACATTTTACGCTGATCGAAGGATACGGATTTCAACTTGATATTGTAGATGGAAACACAAAAAACAAAACGATAATCAGCAAAATCACAGACACTCACAGTGGAAAGACATTCACAATTAGTTCTAGTTCTGTTTCGGAATTTATTTTTTATTCCCAGTATGGAATTTATTTTCGAGGTAACTTGAAGATGATCATCGTAGAGGATTCAGGTAACGTTTCTCTTTCTTTACAGATAACTTCACACATTTGGTCAACTGACATAATATTAGCTAGTTAACATCAGTCACAACAGTCAGTCACAAAATCACGAACAGTCACGAACAGTCACGAACAGTCACGAACAGTCACGAACAGTCAGTCAGTCACGAACAGTCAGTCACAACGTCGGTACGTTTTCACTAGTAATTCAGTTGGTCAATAGGTCGGTTATTTCAGTTACTAGTAAGTTGTCCTAACTGACTTTGACTTCATCAGATTGAGAGGGTTTTCAATCCATTATATTGACATTTTTTCAAAAAAATTCGCATTTTTTTAAAAATTCATTTGAAAAGTTATGTTGGATCAATTGGCTGGTCTTTGATCTTGAAATCTCCGTAATGTTCGACGTTTACTTGGGTCAAGTAAGTTGTAGGGGAGGAGGGGGAGGAGGGAGGAGGGCAGCCCAAGAGGGCATTTAGGTGACTGTTATTTTTCATTTGTTTACAGTTCTGGAGCCATCAATTCTGATCTCAAACTGTGAATTTTCCAACAATTCTGAGTCCGGAATTGAACTTAACGATGTTATAGGCCTATCTGAAATTTCCCGTACAGTGGTGACAGGAAACAGTGTCGGTCTACAAGTGAAAAACGCGAGAGGTAGACTGCATGTTGTGTCATCAGTGTTTGAAGCCAATCAAAACGACGGTGTAGAGATGAATACTATGACAGGATCTGTACAATTTGAATCTGTCAATTCATCGAAAAACCAAGCATCAGGAATAACAATTGATACAGGAACGTTTTCATTCCAAATGACCGAGAGTCGCATTGAAGATAATTCTGTGCGGGGGTTGTTCATTGTAAACCAGCTTAACTCCACCTTCAATGTTTCTAACACACATTTCAGTCGAAACAAAGCAGGCCATGGAGTTTAAATGACTGACTTCACTAAAGATTGCCAAATACAACTTTCAAACATATGGTTGCTTGAAAATGGATGGCACGGGGCTTTGTTTCAGAGCGTAATTGCCAGTCGCTTTGAAGTGACTTCTTCTTTGTTTGACCGAAATTCACGTAACGGAATGTATCTTGAAAAAGTATTTTCCGAAAGGCTAAATTTGAAGAACGTTTCTACCTCTAGGAACTACAAGTATGGTTTGGTTATCGAACAAGGAGTCACCAACGCCATGATAGATTCTTGGTATTCTATCGGTAACCAAAATGATGGCTTAAACTTAAAAAGGCAAGAAGGAAAATTGTTGGTGAATCACTGCGTTGTTCATTCAAACAGACAAAACGGTCTTTTGCTTACTGACGGCCAATTTCGTCGACTGCAATCACTTCAGCTCAATAATTGTCAGGTTTCGGAGAATAGTGAATACGGTGTTCTATTTGAAATTAACTCAGCATTCTCTAGTTACCAAGATAACTACACTATAACTTTGTCAAACTCCACAATTTCCAACAACGCTTTGGGTGGTTTCAAGTTAATTCCTATGTTTTGCTACTGGAAAGCATATTCGCTTCATAGACGCGTTAAACTTTTATTTGTCGGCAATGTAGTGACCGCAAACCAAAAGTTCGGTTTACTTGTGGATGGTCCAGAATGGTACGAGGCAAAAGCGGTATTGGCGAATAATACATTTAAAGAAAATATTGGGTTTGCCATAAAGATTGGGTACAAGAATTTTTCCAATTCGCTTTGCAAGGTCTTCAACTCATTTCCGGTGCGAGTACAAATTGTGGCAAACATCTTTACAAAGAACATAGGAGAGTATACTTGTTTCATAGATTACAATGCTCTACCGGCTAAACGGCAAGTTATCATCAACAAAAACTGGTTTTTAGAGAATCAAGGAATCAAATCGTTTTCCAACAGTTACATTCGTACTAAGACACAAGCCGTTATAGCTGCAACAGAAGGAAACATAACTGTTGAGCATAACTCGTTTGACAATCCTTCGTTTCCTCATGATTTCGCCTTCTTTTTTAAAGACCACTCTCGTGTAATTCTAGCCAGGAAAAACTGGTGGGGCACAAGAGATGAGTGCAAAATAAAAGACAGAATTTTTGACTTCGAGGATCGGGTAGAGCTTCCAAGGATTCAATATTACCCGTTCCTGCTATTTCGCAATTCCTCCAGCGCTCAGGTGCATAGTGGCGTCAGACCCTCTTGTTTCGTTCGCGGCAATAAGATTTCTGGAATATTAGATGAGGCAGTCAATATAACAAGATATTTTTCTCCCTACCAAGTAATCGGAGATGTCATTATACAGCCTGAGGGCGTTCTTACCATTGAACACGGGGTAACCCTTGAATTTCCATTGAAAGGACTTTTCCTCGTTCACGGCCAGATTATCATGAGGGGTAGCAGCAAAGAAAGGGTAAATTTTATCCCAAAGACTCCTTCAGCTCAGAAATTGAGACTTGTTGAAGGTCCTGGTCCATGGGAAGGAAAAGTCGAAATATGGTTTAATAACACATGGCTACCAGTTTGTATGCGTACCTTTCGATATGAGTACAAAGTTGTGTGCAGACAATTGGGATACGAATGGGTGAAATCTTACCACAATGACTCAAATGGAAAAGATGACATGTTTCTTCATAATGTCCGATGTGACACAGATCAAACTGATAACATCACAGATTGTAACATGAAAAACTGGACTTCGTCATTATCATGCACGACAAATGTTTTGCATGTCAGCTGCAAAATTCCTTTCTGGGCTGGGATACATTTCGCAGTAACATCTAAAAAAAGCTTCTTCCTCAATGTTGACATACAGTATGCGGGTTTTGCATACAGAGAGGACCTCGGAATCCCTGGTATTGCTTTTAGAGTCGATCTTAGTCGTCACATAATCAGTAGGGTTTCTGTAAGTAATTCTGCCGGCATGGGTTTTCAAATCATGTATCCAGATCCATTTGACAAGTCTCATGGTATCGTGAACTCGACAATATCTAAAACCGAACTGGATGGAATTCGTTTGGAGGCTCCATTTTTCAGCCTCTTGAGAGTTGATGTCATTAACACGAAGGGATACGGATTCTTATACCATTACAATTGGAATTCACTCAATGCACACGTTCTCACAATAGCTGATGAGACTGCGAAGAAATTTATTCAAACCTGTACTGAAAATGAAACTTTTATTGATGACTCTAGCTTAGTTTATTACCTGGCTGTGACGGCAAGGAGCAGTGTAGCTTGCCAGAGGACAATTACAGTTTCACAGAAGTACACAATTGGTGTGCAGCTAATCCATCATGACGTAAATTCAAGTGCACCTTTCTACATTTATAGCGGACGAAATAAGTCATCGAGCGAAGTCTGGGATGTTCAGTCAATAAGATGGTCAAACCGCCCCATTTGGATGACACGCAACAGCTCTATCCTTCTGGAAAATTCCTATGGTCGAAACGATTATGTCAGCACGATTCATCTTCTTCTGTTTCTCATTAAAGGTGAGTTCAAGTTTTGCATTCAACACTTAATCACATTTGCGTCGCATGTTAATTTCTTTTCTTTTGCTTCTTTGTTTTATACACAATCCAAACACATCGCCTAAGATACCTGCATGTAATGACTAATCCACGTTGCTTAGTCGATTCATGCAGTTTGCAGTTTGAATTGCTAAAAAGATGAAGGATCAACTGTGTAGGGCTTACAGCACATTTCTGGTATTTTCTAAGCTCGATCACCGAGGGAAGAAAGAAATATTAGGGTTAGCTATTTTGCGTTTGAGGCAGTTGAAAATTGTACAAGAGAGGGGCATGAAAGCACGCTGCAAAATGGTCGTTTGAAGAGCGAAATGGGGAAAATGAAAACTTGGCATGAAACTTAATTTGACGAATCCAGATTAAAAAAACATGATGTTGCCTTATTTGTGACAAGTAGTGAAAGAAATTGAGATAGAAAGCCAGTTAGCTAGTCTCCTTCGCAGCCATTTTTTTAGATGTCACGCAACGCTCCCCCAAGAAAACTGCTGCTGACATCCGAACTACATTCCTTTCTCCGAATTGGCCAATCACAGCTCGGGTTCTATTTTTAGGCACCTTTTCGCGCCAGACTCACCTTTTGAGACTCGTCCAATCAGATATCGCTTTCTATCGCGATCCTCATGTGGAAAACACAAGATAAACGGCGGCGCTTGAAGGAGCTTTTCGCAAAGCGTCGTCAGTGTCGTCAAAGTCAAATTTCCGAGCTTAATACTCGCCAGAAGCTTGGAATTAGAAAAGTTTTAGTCGAGAAAGAATATGTTTTTGTTAACTTGCCTACAGGATCGGGAAACCGTCAATACATCAAGCACTCCCGCTCGTGTTTGACCATGTTACCGATGAAAGTAATAGTAATAGTAAATAGTAATCAAAGTTTAATGTCTTTACGTGGGGCATGGTTACCCATATTGCCCGAGCCAGAGGCTCATGTATGAAACGCAAGACAACAACCCACCCATCCCACCCCAGGGGAGGACATCCATCACAAAGTGGTCATATTATTGTTGTTGTCTCTCCGTTGATTAGTCTGATGGAAGATCAAGTGAGGTATTTGAGAAGTCTTGGTCTGTCTGCCGTAAATATTTCTTCAAACGTTGAGGTTAACCTTGCAAAGATAGAGAAAGGAGAATATTCACTCGATAATTCGGGCCGATTTCCTGTACCGGTGATAAGAAGCCACGAACATAACTACTCGGCGTATATAAGAACGATCCTTCGCAGTAAAGCACTATTTGAGCAATAGTGGAAATCAGACCTGAAAAAAATTTCAGGCCTGTACGGGATTTCAGGTCTGATTTCCACTATTGCTCAAATAGTGCTTTACTGCGAAGGATCGTTCTTATATACGTCTCATAACCGCAGTTCACTCATATGTTTCATATGTTTGTTGTTGTTCGATAACTACTCGGGTTCGCTCCAGCTAGCAATGGCGGACTGGCAAATGAAGAAGTACAAGTAGTAGAGGAGACGTTGGCCGACCTAAATCGCAGTGTTCTCGAAGCCTTCGCCCGGTTTGTTTACGGCAAGCACGTGCTGTTTTCCTCCTGATCTCCATCTGCAGGTCGAAGCAAGCGTTTAGCCCTTAGCCTAGATTGAAAGGCGTCTTATATTTCCTTTTTAGCTTCTTCTACTTTCTCAGTTGCTCGCTGAAACTTTAACAACCGCTTGTAGCACAATGTCTTGCAAACAAACAATCTAGCTACAATGAATATATGAAGTTCATATATTTTGAATAAATAAATAGCGCTCTCTACTGCGAGGATCGTGCATCATACGTAAACAATCTAGCGTTCGTGTCGTTGGCGTAGCAGTTGACGTCTATGTTAAGCGTAGATTATATAATTTCAACGAAATTGTGAGAAGTTTTCCCAAAAAATATATACTCTATCTTTACCAGGGCACAACGATGAACATGTGAAACATTTTGAGCTCTCATCGACAAATTTCTTCCGTGTTTCTCCCGACATAATAGCTAGATCATCTGCCACATCCACATTTTCGCGTGAAACCATACGTCATTTAGATTTTCTGGCATGTGATTGGTCTGTTCAATAGACTGCGAACAAACAGCAAGGACAATGGGAAAGGAATGTAGTTGGGATGTCAGCAGCCGTTCTTTTGGGGGAGCGTTGCGTGACATCCAAAAAAAACGGCTGCGAGGGAGACTACCAGTCAGCCTGACAGTAAACATAATTTTCAACAGCTGGATGGACCATTCTTGATATTTTTTAGTATCAGTGTTATGTGATTTCCTTCCTTCTTTCTTTATGTCGCAGAAGGCGAAGCTGCAACATCGAAATCAGAAAACCTTATCATTAATGACAGCACTTTCAGCCATAACGCTCCTGGTGGAATCTATTTGGGAGGCGAAGACTCAGGAAACATTCAAATCGTAAATTCAGCGGTTCGATATTCACCAAGAAACGGCCTTGAAACAGCATTCTTGCGTTTGGACAGTTTAACGGTATTTAATTGTGAATTCATGACACATCAGATTGGAATCAAACTAGGAAGTCTTCAAAAATGGAGGGCTCCTCAAAAATTGGGGTCTCCAGGTAACGTCAATATTGAAAACAGCAAGGTCTCAAACTCAACACAGGAGGCTATACATGTGGAGGATTCCAACAAACTAAAATCGATTCATATCAAAAACAGCAGTGTTACACATAACGACGGTTTTGGACTTTATTTGGGTGGCTTTTACACAAGCGTGAAACTTTTGGTAACTGAAACCCGTTTTGCATGGAATCTGGGTACGTCTGTGTACTCACGAGGTCGTGTATGTCTCTATCCTTGTATCTCTCGATCTGTATTTAAAAACAGCTCGTTCCTCAACAACCTAGGTCCTGTAGTAAATATCGACGGATCTCCATGGGAAATCGAAAGTAACGTTTTCGCTAATAACACCAAAGCTCCTGTCATCGTGACCCCATTTAGTTCACGTAGCGACTACAGACGTGAAGTCTTTGTGAGAAAAAATCACTTCTTACTTAATGTTTGCGAGGAGAAGGGCGTGATATATATTACAGGAAACTCAAAGAAAATGATCATCGAAGGAAACGTCTTTAGAGAAAACTACGGTCGATCCATTTTCATTGCGGAAATGTTTCCCGCGAATGCTACCATAAGAAGTAACGTGTTCAAAGATAACCGGTGCCCGAACTCTGGAGTTATTGAGGTGAGAAGAATGGAGATGGATATCGAGATTGTTGGCAATGTTTTTCAGTTTAACCAGGGACTATTCATGGTTCGTCTTCATTGCGAATATGCCATTAGAAGTAGGTTGTTTTCCGTACAAAAAAAACTAAATTTCTCTAAAAATTCGCTATCGAACAACACAGAGGTGTCATCCCGAACTCAACCATGCGAAGTAAGGATATCGGGACTTACGAATAGTAAGGCTATTTCCATAAACTACAACATCTTCAATAGCAACAGCTTCTCAAAGGAACTTTGTGTTAACACACATGCATCTTCACACAGAAGTATACTGCCAGTGCCGCTAAACTTTTGGGGGTATGAAGATGAGGTCAAAATAAAGCAGAGAATATTTGACGCTGAAGACAATTACGAACACACCTTAGCCGGTTTTCATCCCTTCCTCAACAACGCAGGGAATGTGGTACAAAATTCAAGCACCCGAAACACATTTGATGTACCTGCCGAGAAGTACTTGGGGGGACGTATCCTATTTAGCGTTCAACTAAGAAAAAACCAGAGCCCTTTCATAGTGCTGTCAGATGTCACTATTTTGCCAAATGCTTCGCTTACAGTTGAAGCAGGAGTTGAAGTACGGTTTAAACCAGGCGTCGGCATGTTGATTTTGGGTTCTCTCTTCGTGCACGGAGCAAAGGATGAACCAGTAACATTTTCTCTATGGAAAAGGAACCAAAGTGAAAAGTCATTACCAGTTCGTTTAGTAGGCGGTAAGTTTCCCTGGCAAGGTCGGGCAGAGATATTTCATCAAGGAAATTGGACCCCAGTGTGTTTGAACAAAACAGCATCATTTGAAACAAACAGCGCTAAAGTGGTGTGCGAACATCTAGGCTATCAAACGCCATTAAATACGAGCTTTTCTCCTGAAAAATGTACCAGTGTTTGGACGTCATGTGCATTTTTAAGTTGTAATGGCAGTGAGGCAGATGTCAAAGAATGTTCATTCTCTTTCCACAATCTCACTTGCAACTCGTCTACTCATGTCCTATTGAACTGCAGTGGGGGAAAGCCTTGGGGAAACATACGATTTGTCCGCGAAGTTAACAGCTCATCGCATCATTCTACATCATATTTACAGCACGTTAACATTGAGCATTGT